AACAAACCCTAATGTCTGAAAAAATATTTTAAATGAAGGTTCTTGTTCTAGTGTCACATTTGCATTAACAAACACTAGGCCGATAGAACAAGTTTTGAGGATGTTGAATGCAGAGAAGAAACTAGCTATGAGTACTATTTACAACGCAATGGATGAGGACAATGAGTTAATAACACATAATTTAAGAGGAGAAGATGGCACTTATAGAGAGATTTGGAATTTTATTGATGAAAAATGGGAGCTTCTACTTCACTATTATTTGCATGCAACTAGATATTTCCTCAACCCTTAATTTCAATATCCTAAGAACAAATCCACATATCTTGAGATCAAATTGGGGTTATATCATTGTATGGATAATTGTTGACCCAAAAGAGAGAGCAACTGCTCATATTCAACTTGTTCCATTTATGAATAATGATTTCTTTAGGGAGCGACAAAACAAGCTAAAGATATTATTACAAAATACTCACGAGGTAAAATATTAAATATTTAATATGTTAAATAAAACAAGTATTATCAAAGCGCTATTATTTTAATTTCTAATTACATAATTTTCTTTCACATATAGTTGAATGGTGGATTCAATTTTGGTGATGGTACTCCAAAGATCCAACGTTTTGCTATTAAAGTATTAGGACTAACATGCTCGTCATTTGGATGTGAGTGTACTTGGAACACACATAATCAAGTTCATATTAAAAGGAGAAACCATCTATCGACCTTGAGGATCAAATATTTGGTGTTTATCGTGTACAGCAAAAAAATGAAAGATAGAAATTTAAAAAGAAGGAGAGAGATATTTGAATGATGACGAGGATCCTTTGTTACGAGAAGATATGCTCTCATATGATGAGAGTTTTGTAAATGAGGATAATGTGGTCACACCAATTGAGTCACAACAAGATCTAAACTGTAATATATTTGAGGGTGACAGAATACAGGTAGCAAATCCAACACTAAACAAAGTATAAAAAGAAAAGGTATTTTTAAAATTAAATTATTTGACATTTTCTTCAATGTTAATTTTCAGCTATTTAATTGATTACTCATTTATAATTGAACAGGGAAAAGAAAGATGGCTGAGGTTGAAGAAAAGAAAGAAGAATGGGACAACTTAAACTCAATTGACGAAGAAGCAAGGAAAAAAATATATATGTTATGATGATGATTCCAATAAAAACCCTTAAATGATGAGAGTGTTGAAAACTTTTGATTATTTTTTATCTTATTTACAACCATGGATGATATTATGTTAGAAAACATAAGTGAAAAGTCTTTTATGCTAAACGTATCTTATATCTTATATATTTTGTGCAATTTATCACTTTTTAGCATGATATGATGTTAATATGTTTTCCTTTCATAATATTATAAATGCCTCAATAATAAATTGCACAATTTTAAACATTGATGCAAATACAAGGAATTGGGTGGTATGTATGTAAATGTCCCATTAAACAAACAATCTCTGTGCAACTTGCATTGCAAAACATCATGCCTTTGGTGTTGACTGCATTTTGGACACGCTTTGGATTAGCTCACTTCATTCTAGACTATTTTGATAATCTAGCTTGTCCAATATTCCATAACACGACTCCTTTGCCTTCTACAACTTGGTGACATGTCAAAACTTATACAACCCAATGTCAGTCTGGCAATCCAGTAAAACATTTCAAGTCCGCTAGCTCATTGGCCTACTAGTATCAATCGTAGAATTGTTGGCTATATCCGAGTAGTCGGCTCAATTGTCAACCTGTCAGCTCTAGTCAATGCAACTGAGCGTTGTGGCATCCCTTTCTTGTGCACCTCATCAAACTAAAAAGCAATCCACCGTTTCAGCTCTTCTTATGTTATCACAACTAGTAGCTCCCCTTATTGTTGTTTCTCTCTTAAGTCAACCTCGATTTTCACCTACAACCAAGACAACAAGCCTTTATTTATCATCCAACTACTACTCTCCTAAAATTCAAGAAGACATGTCCCCTCCCCTTTGTTTCCTAGGCACACAATTGTAGAGGGCTAGAAACTCTTCTCACTCTCAGTGAACTCTCCCATTTAATTATCCCTGGCATGTACTTGGGGTTTCCTCCTTTGGCCTATATTAACTGATAGTTCATATGAGCATTGCAATTTTAGTCTTTCTGGTTTTGCTTACTTTGCTAAGCTTCCGACTCACAATTTTTTCACAACACTTCAATGCTTGCGAGAAAGACCTCTCCTACACTCCTATCTCTCCTCTACTACGCCTATCTTATCCTTTTATCATCACCTATAGAGCCATTAATACTAATCATAGTTTCTCTCACCCTCAAAGCTTCAAAGTTCACGTGCCTAGGGCCTTTATCATCAAGCAATTGTCGCCCGAAACCTATATATGAATGTCTACAATAGTAACACACTCATTATCCATGTAGACTTGTCTTCCAAAGATCCATCATCTTCCTAACCATTGTCTCTACCCTCACTCCAAAGTACGGAAACCAAAGTTTTCACACCTTACAATTACAACCCAAAGGAAGTACAATCATTTATTTCTCCACCATGCTTTCCTCTAGGGTATGTGCTTTCCCAACCATCAGAGTCCCCCAACTAGCAACCTTTCATTAAGTGTCAAAATAAGTAATGAAAGATCCATCACCCGTAAAAAAACATGGGTTTCTTGAAAGGATAACTCAAAATCACATGAGGTGGAAAACCTCTATGCCAAAGGAAGTTTTCATACCTTACAATTACAACCCCAAAGGAAGTACAATCATTTATTTCTCCACCACGCTTTCCTCTAGGGTATGTGCTTTCCCAACCATCAGAGTCCACCAATTAGCAACCTTTCATTAAGTGTCATAATACATGATGAATGATCGACCACCCCTAAAAAACACGGGTTTCTTGAAAGGATAACTCGAAACCACATGAAGCGGAAAACCTCTATCAAACTTATGAAGCTAAGAGAGCCAACCCAATAGGTATTGCACCATTTCTTGTTTACACACTAGCCGTCTAAGATGTCAATCGTTTGAACATTTTCATTTAAAATCATCCAGCATTTGCTCATTGCACACTCACACTCTTGGCCAAGATGCCATTCATACACCTGTTAGTTCAAAAGACATCGCCCGCCTCCTGCCACACTAGTTCCAGATTCATCGTGCATGCACCGCTCACCCACCACCTGACGGCTCATTCACCTGCAGTCCCCCAGTCTACAACCTTGGACAATCTAGAGGCAAATCTTATCAGGCTCTGGCACCAAGCAAATGTTTTGTATGTCTTAGGGCAATTTAGTCTTTTTACTATTGCTATTGTTATGTACGAATAGGCTTATTATGTTTAGGGTTAGGGTGAGCATTAGATTGAGTTGTGAGTTGGTCTAGGTTTTGGGAGAGATTTCCTACCTCTAGAATTTTAGGAATTGGGAGAGACTGCCTACCTCTCAAATTGTAGGTGTTTATCTTTGTTTTCACGTAGAGTTATTTGATTTATTGAAGAAATATTGTATTTGTCTGAAAGGCGTGCCAATTTTGAGTTTGGATCATACCAGCAAAGTACCTTGATATTAAAGACAAATCTCATCGTGCTCTACCACCAAGCAAAGCCATCACCAGGCTCCTGCATACTAGTTCCAAATTCACTGTCCGTGCACCCACCACCCGACGTCGACAGCTTGAACAATTCTGACACAAATCTCAGCATACTCTGACACCAAGCAAAGCATCCCAATATTATTAAGTCACAACAGTCTTTAAATCCAACTTGTCACCTCATGTGTGGTTTAGGCAAGATTATATGATGGAGATTCAAAGAGGGCATCAAAAATAATGTGCAAAAGAAATATAATGATGTGTTCAACCCTTTTAAATGCCTATCATCTAAAGCCATAATATTTTTGGAGATACATTATAGATTGGGTTCATTAGCTCAAACTCAATCTCTGATAATTATTTCGCACATTTAGGTTGTGTTTGAGGGAGCGGTGTGGTGGTTGTGCCCACCGCACTATCAGACGTTTGGCAAAAATACATTTTGCCAGCTTTTTCAAAAAACTTCGGCGGGAAACTGTGTTTTGTAACTTGACTTGGCTAAGTGTGGTGGCCGCTATAAAGCTATGGTATAACTTTTTTAAAATAAAATAAATTTATAATAGCCACCGCAGCTTTTTGAAAAATAATTTCTCCTACAGCAGCTTCATAATTTCTTTGCAGCAGCTATCACAAACAAACCCTTCGAGCCCTAAAACTCCCACTGGATTTCTACCTAGCTAATGTAAAATAATCATGTTTAACCCATGACAATAGAAAGTGATGCCAATCTAAATAGGGGAGATTCATTGGCATTCATTCTTAAATTCATCATGAGGGTACTGCAAATGAAAATTGAATTCCATGAGAGAGGTGATTTGAGGAAATTAGGGAGTGAGAGAGTTAAAGAACAATGTGCTAGAAGGAGGCAAAATGTTGGTATAAAGATGAGCATTTTACCAATTTTTTTATCATAATATTGGGTGAACTCGAACAATTATTTGTGAGGGCAATTAGAGTCTTTTAGATACTAAAGCTACATCATATAAAACTCTCCTAATTTTATGGTGCAACAACACCCCCAACTCCCCGCTATTTCGGTGCACATCTATCCCTGTTCTACATATTTTCATATTCATCCATATCCTTATATTCAACGAAATTTTGGCTAAAGATTATTATATGCAAAGAGTTTGATAATGATAAGTTTATGTTCGTCAGTATTCCAGCATTCCAGCGCATTGTATGCAATCCAAATATTAGCTTTCCACAAACACTGAATTAATAATTTGCAGAAATTAATAGAAATGAAGAAAGAAAGAATGGAAGTTTCAAATATAACAAACTAACATCCATGTAGGAAACTAAAGTAGCAATTGTGCTGATAATTCAATAAAAAGATTAAGCATGGACATAAGCTATGATTGCAAAAAAGTTGCATGCTTCCATAACACGCAATGATGGTTAGAAATTTAGACATACTTTATGGTGTTATCTTTTGCACCGGATATCAATATCGTGCCTTGTGGATGAAAATCTAGATCATTGATAGGCTGCAAAAGAAAGGTAAAGGGCTTAGAAATATTTAAAGTTAGTGATTTTTCTCTAATGAACACGTTAGAATCTGATGAAGCAGACAAATTAACATGATAAAATGTTATATACTCGTGTGTATTTAATAATAACACACTTTGAAGGGTCATCTAATAATTTACTAAATATTATAACTCATGTTTAATCATTTCACAGCCATCAAAGTAATGAGGTGAAAGGATTATAGCTATTTATACTTGTTGATTTTCCTCAAATGAACATGTTAGAATCTGATGAAGCAGGCAAATTAACATGATAAAAATTTAGACTATATACTCATGTGTATTTAATAATAACAAACTGTTGTAGTGTCATCTAATAATTTACAAAATATTATAACTCATGTTTAATATTTCACAACCATCAAAGTAATGAGGTGAGTTCACAAAGCAAACAAGAAATTTACTCAGAGGAATGCTAAAGTGTTGATGACAAGAAGACTTCAAGCAAGTGTAGTGAGTCAAAGGGATTCATTGTATATTAGTAGTTTGAATATCGTTGGAAACCAGAGTGGCGAACATAATAATAATTGAATTCCAATTTCATCATTATTATTTAAATAAATATTTTAAGTATTTAATAAGTAAACTGATAGTATCACTGTCGCACCATTAGAAATGTTATTTAAGCTATGACTCATTGAAGGTTGTAGAACATAGTTTTCATATCACATTGGTTTATTAGTTAATTGTACAGTATGATATGGATCTAATAATTATAAAATCTTATCATATGATATGGAATATATAGTACTATAATTATATTGTATGACGTATATCAATGTTGACCTCATTTTGAGGTCTTCCTTACTCTTTCTTCTAGAGCTTAGAATCTAGCCATAGGACTTTTCTATCGAGTATCTTAGAGGATTGGTGTTAGGATCCACATGATGTAGAAACTCAAATAATCTCTTAACTCTTTTGTGAAGCCTCACAATGGTGGTCCCAAGCCATCCCCATTTGGTCGTCGAGTGGTTATGATTTCGAGCTGTCACCATCTCGTTAAGTGGCTAAGATCATGTACCATCACCACTGGGTTGAGTGGCTAGAACCAACACGTCGGGGCCCGAGTAGAGTTCCTATAGGTTTTAAAAGCCTTAGGACACACATAATGACTTTAGTACATTCGCACACACAAATATCACAATTCGCATCACCTACACCTGTAAAAACTTCACAATTAATCGAAACATAAGTCAATTTTTGAAATAATCGATCAAGAACACGAAATTTGAGGACAAATCGAATTTGACGCATTTTTACCCGATCGTCGACGAGGTTGTCCAGACGACCCCGGATGACGAAAAGGACAGCGCCGACGCGTTTGGAGCGTCGAAATTACCTGGAAAAGACATCCATTTTCTTGGGTTCTTAGCACAAATAAATTGCGCGCAAATTAATATGTTTAAATAATATAACTTAATAAAACAAATAACAAAATAATTAAAGAATAACAAAATCCTTGTTTTAAACCTATTTCACCTAACTCACGCACCCGATTCAGCCTTTCCCTTCTTCGATCGAGAGTCTCAGGCGTGCCTTAGCTCCCGCGGCTCGTCTCCCCTTTTCTTTCCCAATCGTGGCCCGAGTGGAGCCCTAGCTCGCACGCTTCCCCCTCTTCGCGAACCTTCTGGTTCGACCCCAGCATTTGACTCCTCTTCTGCGTAAGCCGCTCGACAAAACAGCTTGCCAATCGCGAGACTTTACCTGTCCGACTCTTACTCTTCTCGAGGTAACCTCCCCCTCTCCCTAGATGCGATTCTTCCTCTCCCGATACCTCCTTCGGCCACTTAACCGTAATAGGTAAGTCCCTCCCTTTCTTGCTTACCTATAAAAAAAACCTAGTTAGGGTGAGGTTTGTTAGTTGAAATTTGGAAAAAAGGGGGGAGGTGTTGTTGAAATCATTTTTGGAATAGTGTTTTTGCTGCACTCAAATTTTTGTCTCTTCTTATTTTCCTTTCTTTAAGCTAGGCAAGGTATGTGTGGCTTACCTCCCTCTTTAGGTTAAAGATTTCTCTCTTGTAGCTGCAGTTTTCTTTTATTTTTAGCTACCTGTCACTCACTGTTCTTTGCTGGATGGATTTGTTCTAGCCCTAAAGCTTCTCTTGATTGAGTAAAAAAAGAGAGGAATAAAAAAAAACGAAGAGGAAGGAAGGGAAAGAATGCCCATGCTGATTTTTTTTAAAATTTGTTTGCTAGTTTTTAAAGGCATAGCTTCCCTATTCTATGTTCTTTTTTAGTTCTTAAAAAGAAATGAAAAGAAAGGTCCGATGCTCCTTGCCTTACATGCTTATTCATAAAAAAAAAGGAGGAAAAAAAAGGAGAGGAATGTTTGGTGAAACTTGTATTTGCAAAAACTTGCGCTTAGAATGATATTTGGGAGCTTTCATTTGCTCTCTACTTGCTTCTTAGTTGAATAATTTTAAAACACGATTAAGACCACATTCTAGTTTACATTTTGGCAAGCTTGGAAAGTTGTGGTGTCTTATTTATTTGAAAAATCTGAAAGCTCTCATATTAAATTTGGAAAGTTTACAAATGCTTCGGTGATTCACTTTAAAATAATCTGAGAGCTTTTTATGTTTGTTTACAAAGCTTTGAAAGTGGCTGTTTATTGAAAAATCTGAAAGCTCTCGTATTAAATTTGGAAAGTTCACAAATGCTTTGGTGCTATACTCATGTGAAAATCTTAAAGTTTGCACATTTCTTTTTGCACTTGTAGCTTTGGTGCTATACTCATGTGAAAATCTGAAAGGTTGCATATTCTCTTTGTAAAGACTTATAGCTTTGGTTTTATACTCATGTGAAAAAAAATCTGAAAGGCTGCATATTCTTTTTGCAAAGACTTATGGGTTTGATACTTTCCATTTGAAAAATTTGAAGCAAAGACTTATAGCTTTGGTTTTATACTCATGTGAAAAAAAATCTGAAAGGTTGCATATTCTTTTTGCAAAGACTTATGGGTTTGATGCTTTACATTTGAAAATTTTGAAAACTTTTCAAATTCTATTTGAAAAGTTATTTGAAAAGTTTGGAGAGTGGCAATGCTTTACTTTGCAAAACTTGGAAGTTTTAAGTGTTCTATTTAAAAATTTTGGAAAGTTTCAATGTTTTACATTTGAAAAATCTGAAATTTTTCAAACTCTATTTGGAAAGTTTAGAAAATGGCAATGCTTTACTTTTGCAAAACTTGGAAGCTTTAAGTGTTCTATTTGAAAAATCTGGAAAGTTTCAATGTTTTACATTTGAAAAATCTGAAACTTTTCAAACTCTATTTGGAAAGTTTAGAAAATGGCAATGCTTTACTTTTGCAAAACTTGGAAGCTTTAAGTGTTCTATTTGAAAAATCTGGAAAGTTTCAATGTTTTACATTTGAAAAATCTGAAACTTTTCAAAATTTGGAAAATTTGGAGAGTGGCAATGCTTTATTTTTGCAAAACTTGAAGCTTTAAGTATTTTATTTGGAAAATTCGGAAAGTTTCAATGCTTTACATTTGAAAAATCTGAAACTTTTCAAAATTTGGAAAATTTGGAGAGTGGCAATGCTTTATTTTTGCAAAACTTGAAGCTTTAAGTATTTTATTTGGAAAATTCGGAAAGTTTCAATGCTTTACATTTGAAAATTTGAAACTTTTCATTTTTCTGGGAAAATTTGAAATTATAATAGTTTTGATTTTTGAAGATTTGAACGTCTTTGGAGCTTCTTTCTTTTTGAAAATTTGAATTGTTTCATTGAGGTCTTCTTTTAAATACTAAATTAGAGGTCCCAAAAAGTTACTTTTGCGTCATTTTAAATGTTATATTTTTGTTGTCTTGAAAACTTCAAATGCTCTTTCCGAGTCCAATTTGTTTGACATTTTGGGTTTGATTATTTCTTTTTTAAAAAAAATTAAACGCTTTTAGACCGATTCACTTGCTGTTTTGCTCATGGCTTTACTATTTTGTTAAAGTGGGTCAGCCTCCTCCGCTTATTTGGTTTTGCTTTCATTTTTCTTGTCAATGGTTGTTAAAAAATGAGAATTTCTGATTTAATTATTTTCAGGATTGATTCACGCCTTTAAAAAAAAAGGGTAATCATAGGGGAGGGAATTAAAAAAAAACAATGATAATTAGTCTGTTGAGATGATTGAAACTCAAAGAGTAAATAGGGTAGCAAATCATTCACCATTTATTTTATATATGAGGGATAAAATTGTAATCGTGATAATTGTTGAGAATTGTGAGAAAGTAAGAGTTTAAATGATTCAAGATTTAGAGACATGAATTGAAAGATCAGTAGGCTATTAATTAAAACCCCTAAGCATTGGTTAGACTTAAGCTCAATTGTTTTAATTAGAATTGAAGCACATTTCAAGAACTTTTTTGGCAAAATTATATGTTTACACTCCAGTTCTTAAGAGCATGATAGTGAGCTAAGTTTGATCTAAAGATGTTCAAAGATTAGTTGGAAAACATTTAATTGAAGACGGAACACTTTAAAACACTTTAAGTTCAAGTTAAAGTATACGCTTCCTAGATTTTAGAAGCACACTCTATGTAAGAGTTCTACCAAATTTTCAAATGGATACTGAAGCTAGGAACCTGACCCTAATTCATAAGCTAGTTAAACAATAAACAAGATATGCACCAGGTTGTGATTCATGACTGATTTAATTAAATCAAATAATGAAATTCTCGCATAACTTGACCTAAAATGAAACTCAATGCTCCGGAATTTGAGCTTAAATCTTACACTCAAATCCTCCTAGCAATTGAAGATATTCTCAACGTCGCATATGGATCACCGGACTAGAATAAGTCTAGGGTCTAGGTGGCGAGGAAGATGACAACATTGCTTATGTGTACTTAACTGGGGGATACGAAGTGAAATTATTATAATAGTATCGTCTACCTCAATGACCTTCAATGAGGGGAGAGGATAAGGACCGATAATACTATTCGTCAACTCTTGTTGAAATTAT